CTATATTTCACGGAGGTGGCATTCATTCAGTTTACTCACTGCCGCTTGAGGACCAGAATTTGAAACCAAATCCTGTGAGAATCACATATTTAACGTATCTAGATTACGGAGTAACATATTTGTTAGTCCAGATTCTGGCTTTTTAAATCTATGATGGGAATGTGCCTCATCCTCCATAAGTGAAAGGTACTTGCAAGTCACGTCTGCACTGAGCATGCTGGAGACGCCTCATGCTATTTATACATTTGGAACAATTCACCACCTAATGCTTTCCCTGGTAAATAAATGCCCACACTGCCTGAAATGGATGCCATTTTTCCAGAGGACCGAGGTTACACACTAAGGATCAGCTTGGAAAGCCTGATGCCAAAGCTACGCAGCTGTTTCTCTCACTCAATCACAGCCTGCATTTATGGAACACAGGAAATTTGCTTGTACTCCAAATCCCAAAGTAAGCATATTATATTCAAAAGATCCCTGGCAATAGCCCAGTTGTCCTACATGGCCCAGCAGCATGGGTGCTAGAAAGAACATCCATCTTTTCCTTGTAGAACATGCATAACCCTTCTTTTTCTAGTCATTTTCCCCAACACTCCTTTCTCCCAGCTGTTTTTGCAGCTCTCGAAACTGTTTGTCAGGTGAGCGCAGCTTGGAATACTTACAGAGGTACAACAGCTTTGCAGAGAAATGTTTCAGGAAAAAATTGAATGGAAGAACTCCATTACCACCCACCTCTACCTAATCTTTTCCCTCTTGAAAATTTGCAGAATAAGGGGAACCTAATCAGCTTGTTACATACAACTGCAGTGTGCATATATAAATTGTGATATCACAACCAATACCTGGTTGTGGAACTTTTGCTTGTTTGCCTGTGAAGAGGTGTGACTGATATGTGAGGCCTGCCCACTGGTAAAGTACATTGCCAGAAGCCTACTCGTACATACCCAGGACCTGGGTATGTACGAGATCGCCTTCTGCCACCGATAGCCTCCCACGAGCCAATACGCTCCCACAGAGAGGGACTCCTCAGGGTGCCGTTGGCCAAACAATGTCGACTGGTGACACCTAGGGGGAGAGCCTTCTCTGTGGGGGCACCTGCCCTTTGGAATGAACTGCCCCCGGAGATTCGCATGATCCCCGACATATGTACCTTTCGCCGTGCCCTTAAGACTCTTTTGTTTCAACAGGCCAGGCTGGCTTAGAAAATGAATTTTAAATTGGATGTTTGAAGCTTTTAACATAAGGGCCAAATTTTATATATTTTAAATTGTTTTTAAATTTTATGGGTATATGTTTGTTTTAATATGGCTGTACAACGCCCTGAGTCCTTCGGGAGAAGGGCGGTATAAAAATTTAACTAACAAACAAACAAACAAATAAATAAATAAATAAATAAATAAATAAATAAATAAATAAATAAATAAATAAATAAATAAATATATATTATATGATCTAAATCAGGGGTCCCCAACCCCCAGGCTGTGGCTCACTACTGGGCCACGGTCTGTTTAGAACAAGGCCACAGAAGCGGCAGGCGAGAGCACACACAGCTGCACTTGCACACGCAGCTTCACTTGCGCACACAGCAGGCAGGTGAGTGTGTGCGCTGAACTCCATTTATGTGAACAGGGGGTACATGTGCCCACCAGTCATTTGTGCAAATGGAACTGCTTGCTCATGCGCTTGCTCACCTGCTGCTCGTGCAGAACCATCCCCTCTCCCCATCCCCGGTCTGCAAAGCCGGAAAGATTGGAGACCACTGATCTACATAGTGATCTCAGGTGGTTGAAAGTTGAGAGGAAGGATGGGGAAGACTTTTGAAAGAGAGAGGGAGAGAGGGGGGGAGAGGGAGATCAGCAGGCTCAGGAGAATTGGCAATATGAAAAACATTAAACCTTTTTAAGAACCCAAAAGAGGTGAGCCATACACTCAAAACCAAGCAACCAACAGCTTGATAACCGAGCGCACTCCATGACTTGCAGAAGATACAGAATGCCTGTATTTCATTTTCAACTCACTTTTTACTATTTCCCATCACCACATTCCTGTGCACAAGTTAAGTTCACATGTGGGTAATCCAGAAAAACACATGCCACAATCGTTATGTTAATCCCTACAGAAGCCACAAGAATCCCTGGCAGGATTAAAAGCTGGTTCACACATTAAGACATGACCAAAATTTTATAGCACAGCGGCTGATTTTATACGTCACTCTTATCCAAACCCAAAGTCCCCATATAGGATGCCTTAGTGTGATATATGAAAAGCATTTCACTGCAACAAATTAGTATGGTGAATCCCTCAGAAGTAAGGCTTAACAATAAATTGTGGATGGGGGGAACATACAAAATAAAAAACTAAGGGAGGGTTGATTTTGTCTGACTCTTAGATCATTATGGTTGGCAACTGTGGGTTTTATAGTCCAGAATCTTTGATATTTTGTCTTGGAAGAGAATGGTATTTTTATCATGAATAAAACCACTCTCGTTGGGATCTGTTGTGTCTATGTATGACAATGATTGCAATACATTATTCTGATGGCAGTCCCTCTCATTTATTTAAGATCTTATTTATCAGTCAAAGGTACTCAGCTTACAAAATTGTGTGTTGAAATAAAAGACATTACAACAGTGATTAATCATCCATATTACCAACATTGAAAGTTGACAACAGGTATTTGGAGCCCAGCTTTTAAATAGAACCGTTTCTAAGTGGCTGTGCAGAATGTTCCCACTTTCTTTTTAAATATATTTATCATACGTTCATCCAATTCACAGTAATTTCATTAAATCCATAAACCATCATCATTAGAAACACATCTCAATATGGATTTATTCAGTTTGTATCTACTAGGGCCACGGAACTATATCACCTGTGGAGGACAAGGTATAGACTATCCAAAGATGGCACTTCCCTATAAACAAAAGATAGATGCAGTCATTCCTGCAGCTAGCTGGGTTTTACTGGGAATTTGCATCCAAGGAGAGCCAATTTGCAGCATCCATTAGTTCTAACTAGAAAGAATCAGAATCATAGTTCCAGAGTTCCACAAGGACTTTAGTCTAAACCTCTTGCATTAACAAAACCCCAATACCCCTCCATCTCTGAGGCATCACTGATTATAACTTTATTTTTTTCTTCCTTTTAAATAACGTTTGATTTTGTTAATGCTAGGTGAGATTAATCTATCACCCTAAGGTGGAAGGAAAGGCCGAATCATCGAGCCACATGCCACTATGCTACAATTTAGGATATTGCATTATTGAAATCATTTTGGTGTTTTTATCATTTATGTTCCAAAAAGAGAGAGAACATATTGTGATTGCCCTATTTTTCACACATTGGAGATACCAAGTAGGAATCAGGTGAGGTATTCCCTGGAAAACAGGTGGCAGCAGCAAAAACTAGCAGATATCATATGCAACTTTTTGTCGATTTTGGTATATGCCTGAACAGCGTCTGTAGGTTCCTTCAGAGGGATTCCAGTGACAAAAACTTACACAACAAATTATTGGAATTAAATTTAACTTTGATTTAGGTTTGAATTTTTTTTTCCTGTAATGGGAATATTTGTTCTGTCATATTAGCCAGAAAAGCCCAAAATATTTCCACACTTTCTTATATGCTAAAATATTAATTGCAGACACTGAAAGAAAAGCTCCTGAGATACATAGCCATTATCCTACAATGGCATTTTGATAACAGATTTTGCACAAGTGCGATGGGACAAATTTACATAAGTAGCAGTTGGATAGCTTGTGCCCAAAGCAGAAAGACTATATATGAAAAGGCATTGCAAAATGGTATTTATTAAATGAAGATATCCTGAAATAATCATACTTTGGTGTCATTTGAACTGATTGCTCAGTTATTTCTTAGTATCCATTGCTCTATACTGTTAATATCTAATTTTACCACAACTGTACTATATGTTATACAGAGCAAGTACAGTATATACATGTGACATTTAAAATGTACTGTATAGTATACAGAACAACCCATTCTTTAATGTCACACATATATACCGTGCTTAATTTCTTGTTCTTTCCTTGGGAATATTATTTTAAGATGATTACACTTGGCAAATACCACAAACATTTTCTAGATAAAATTAACTTGATCAAAATGAGAAAAGGGAAAGTCTAGCAACTGAGAATGTGGCAAAAAAATAAATAAATAAACCCCTTCCTCCCTGCTTCCACTGGGAAAATTTTGTCCTTGCTCATAGAGTTGTTAAATCCCATCCGGTGGTTCTTTTAGGAAAATATGAAAGCAGAAATAGCACTGTTACATTGAGGTTAAGAAATTAAGATTGGGCCCCTTCCCCTTTCTTCTGTGGTTAAATACCTTATCTTGCACAATCTACACCCAATTGACAAAGGCTTTGTAGGTGTTCAAAAGAAAGGCAGTGGAAATTTGGAAGGGTAAGCAAGTCTTGGCTAGCCCTTGGATCCTTAATTATTCACTGATAGTGATATCTAATGTACACTGCTTTGCCAGTGTCCCAGTTTTCCAGCTGTAGACATATGATATTGCCATCATTTTTCATGTCAAATGTCCGTCTTTTGCAAGATAAATGGATGTTTGTTCAGCTATCTCATGTAGGCTGCCTTTAAAAGTGGTTTTGGGGACGTCAGTGACTCCTGAAGAGGATGGCATGATTTATTTATTTATTTGCTAACCGTATTTTATGCTGCCACACTTAAAAGATAGAGCCAAATGATTTCATTTTGTCACAGCAGAGGTAGATGACATGGAAACATATTCCCCCTCCCAAGATACCCAGGCAGGGACATACTCTGTATCCCACCTGACTTTTGAAAATAAATTAAATTTTGAAAGCAAATTAAATTAAATTAAATTAAATTGTAAGGTGCCTTGAATCATTGACTGAGATGAGCGACTGTATAAATTGAATTAAAAAATAAATAGGAATCTAATATGCAGCAAAGCCAAGTGCTATGAATTAACATTTTCCTATCTCTATTTATAGCAAGGATATAAGGATCCAGAAAATTCCTGGCAAAGAGAGAGAGCCTTCTGGGAGTGACTAGTCCACCTTCTGTGTTTTATGATGAGATGTCACCCCTGTGAGGTAGGCCAGCTGGTGAAACCAGCACAGCAGGGATTCCAAGAATGCTGTTTATTATAGTTGGGTACTATTGTAAGATTATTAACAGGGACTTGGAAACCTGTCCAAGTTTCTCTCTGTCTCAACTTCTACTCAGCAAAATCAAGGCAGGATAATGTTGAGTTTCTCTCTGACACTGTCTGATTTCTCATCAGTCTTTTTTCAAAGACTGCCCCCGCCCCCCCATTGTAGATTTTTAATATTTTCTAAATGGAAAATGGATCCCGCCATCCTCCCCCACCAAAAGAAATTTGTGTGGTTGCAAAAAGTAAGTTACAATACACATCAGATTCCAGACTATTTTCAAGCTCAGTGGAAAGCATGCGTGTAACATTTTTAAAAGATTTAAAGCCTTTATCTTTTCCAAAAGAGAAGCAAGTGACTATTGCATTCCACTTATAGCACATCCTCTTGTCCAATATACACTTTAAAAGGGTTTCTTGGGGGTGGGGGAAGATAATTTTCTCAGCTTTTAAAAATTAAGTTAATTTTTAAAAATATCCATTAAAATTAATTTTATTTAAAAGTTTAAAATAAATTTAATGTTGAAATTTACATATAAATAAAAATGATTTTTAGATCTAATAGCATAAAGGGTTTTCTGGGTTTTGTAGAACTTAGGAATTCTACTGATTTTTATTTTACATCTGTCCTCGGTTTTTCTATTATTATTTTAAGTTGTTTAGTAAAGCTTGATCATATGCCAGCAAGTGTCATAAATAAAATGATTTCATTTTTCCATACCAATATATGAAAACAACAAAATACAGTGTTTTGTTAATTAAGTACTGGCAATTTTTACAAGCAGCTCTTAACATTCTCACAAAGAAGTGTTGTTTATCCCATCTTTTTGCTTTTTGTGGGATGGACAATGAACAACAAATAATGGAAGCTACTGAAACATAAATAGGATAATATCTATCTCAATTTGCCAAGAATCTCTCCTGCAACAAAATTCAAAAGAAGTCTGCCCCATTATATGCTACTGTTTGCTTATCATTTAAATATTGAACTAAAGATTGTTAAAAATAGTCCTACTGCATATACAGTAATATCTCTGCTTGTAACTTTCTCCAGTCAATGTTAGATTTTCAGCTAATAGAATCATTTGCATTTGATCATACTTCAAAAATAAAATATGATTGCTATGAATGATTCTTTTAGCTGAAAAACTTACCCAATGAAGAACCCATGGATAATTTAAGTATTTAGCTATTACTGGCTATGTTGCTACAATCATATTTTAATTAGGATTTTCAAAAAATAGATAGAAAAGCTCATTTGTGATTGCACTAATCAGTTATTGAATTGCCTTTACTCACACATATTCAGTCTCTATGAGGGGTGAAATGCTCCCGGTTCGGACCGGATCGCCCGATACAGTAGCGATGGCGGCGGGTGGTTCGGAGAACTGGTAGCAAAAATCCCTGCTCCCCTCCCATGCCCAGCTGAGCCGTGCTATTTTTTTACCTTTTAAAAGCATTTTTTCTACAACCTCTTCAGCCAAAGAGATTGTAAAAAAAATGCTTTTAAAGGTAAAAAAAAAAGCCTCTGAGGATCGCACAGCTCAGCTGGGATCGTCAGAGTCTTTTAAAAGCATTTTTTCTACAACCTCTTTGGTGGAAGAGTTTGTAAAAAAAATCATTTTAAAAGGCTCTGATGATCCCAGCTGAGTTGCCTGATCGTCAGAGGCTTTTAAAGGCATTTTTTTTCGGCGGAAGAGGTTGTAGAAAAAATGCTTTTAAAAGTAAAAAAAAAATTGCGCGCCAAAGCTTATCACCCTCCCCCTCGTGCGCTGTTCTACTTGCCACATGACTCCTTTTGGTGTGCACTGCACGCATGCACTTCGCATTTGGTACGTGGTGCGCACTGCACGTGCGCAGCCAGCAAACCGGTAAACCGGTTCAGATTTCACCAGTGGTCTCTACACATGAAATCCCTATCTGATTTCTAGAATAAGCAATAAAGCCATAAGATTTCTTGTAGGAAATAAAGCCAGCTCTTTCTTATTTTGTCTTTTTCTAGCAGAGACCCGAAACAACTAGCAACAAGGCCCTCTCTCCTGAATCTGAGGGTGAAAACAAAAGAATGTATCCTTACATTCAGGTAATTCAGTACATGCCTGGGCAAGATATGATTAAATCACATATATATTCTTGAGGCCTTTGAAATACAACAACAGCCCTTTGTCAGAAAATACAAAGCTTCAGGTCATTCACATTGCTAGCTGTACTCACAAAAATCTTTTAGCACTCAGGAATTACAGAATAGGAAGGGATCCTTAAGAGATCTTTGATTCCAACCCACATCTCTAAATTTTACTATATGACACTTACTGTCGTGTAGCTTAAAATACTTATTGTGGCATTATATACATAGACTATAAAAGATCAAACTAAAAGACAAGTCATGTAGATTTGTTATATAACAGCATTGCCTTACAAGGTGGGGACAGCACTGTGATTTCCTATACCAGGAGTCAGCAACCCAAGGCTCTGGAGCCGCATGTGGCTCTTTCACCCCTCTGCTCCGGCTCCGTCACTCAAAATATGTGTCACAACCACCAATGTGAGACAGCTGCCAGCACGTGATTTATTGAGCTGTTCAACCCCCGGTAGACCAACCATAGATAAGTCCAAGAAAAGAAAAGTTTCAGAAGAAAATAAAACATTTAATTCAACTACATATGCTAGTTTTGTGGCCGTTCAAGAGATAGTCAGGCACGGGAAGGATTTTGTGGCTCCCGGTGTTTTCTTTTCTGTGGGAAACGGGTCCAAATGGCAGACCCCTGTCCTATACTGTAACTTTGAAAACCTTTCATTATTTGCTATGAGTGTAGTGGTTAAGGCATCAGGTTAAAAACCAGGAGATCATAAATTGTAGTCCCACCTTAGACAAAAAAGGCAGCCGGGTGACCTCCGGCAATTTACTTTCTCTCAGCCCAAAAATAAGGCAATGGCAAAGGTTTTTGAAAAACCTTGCCAAGAAAAAGTACAGGACTTGTTTAGGCAGTTGTCAGGAATGAAAAAAATGACTTAAAGAACCAAAAACAAAACAAAACACCTAGCTGAATTGCTGAGGCAATACAATGTTTATTTATGTTTTAACTATTTTGATATTTAATTCCATTTCAGTAATCAAGGCCTACGTATAGATGAAGGTGTGTGGTTCTTGTGGAAAGGTAGCAGTCAACAACTGAATGCATGTGTATGTGTATGAAATGTATGTGTCACATACAAGGTGAAAAGCACGGAAGAGGAAACAAAACACAAGAAATGATTACATGTAAAAGCATTGATTATACAGCTATGTCTTCATTAAAAACAACTCTACAGCGTATGATACATTGCTCTCCTTCTTTAGAAAATACTCCTTGTAAGAGAAGTTTGTGTTTACTATAGTCATTCAAATGGCTTCTTGTATTACAGAATATTATAAAATACAAAATATAAATACTATAAAATCTAAAAAGAGTTGCCTTGTGATAAGATGGGCAGAACAGAACAGAACAGAACAGAATAGAATAGAATAGAATAGAATAGAATAGAATAGAATAGAATAGAATTGAATTGAATTGAATTGAATTGAATTGAATTGAATTGAATTTTTTATTGGCCAAGTGTGATTGGTCACACAAGGAATTTGTCTTGGTGCTTATGCTCTCATTGTACATAAAAGAAAAGATACGTTCATCAAGAATCATAAGGTACAACACTTAATGATAGTCATAGGGGACAAATGATACAAGCAACAAAATTACAGTCATACAATCATAAGTGGAAGGAGATGGGTGGTGGGAATGATGAGAAGATTAATAGTAGTGCAGACTTAGTAAATAGTTTGACAGTGTTGAGAGAATTATTTGTTTAGCAGGGTGATGGCATTCGGGAAAAAACTGTTCTTGTGCCTAGTTGTTATAAACTAGTTTGCCTAGTTGCCTAGCCAATAAACTTTCAAATAAAAATACATAAAATGTACAGTTCTCTCTCTCTCTCCTACCCCCACCCCCGTGTGTGTGTGTTTGTGTGTATAAAAATAATGCGAGGCAAAGGAAACCTTGTGAATGGCACAGCATTCAATGGAAAAAAGTGTTAATTACACAAAATGTGTCTTTAACAGAAAAAATTAGGATCACTCCTAGTTGAAGATATTCCAAGATTAGGATCAAAGAAAAGTGGTCTTATTGGATTTTATATTACTCGTTGATCTGCAAGGGAGGATCCAATATTACCTTGTGATAAGAGCATCCTCAGGCAAAGTACATCCAATATGGACTTTTAGATGGTTCTCAATGTTCCATACACTGAAGGGGGATCGGATCTGATAGGCTAATCACAAAATATAGTTGAATCCAAGCAAGTTTCTTGCTTACACTCACTGCTTATAAAACACAACTGAATACAGGAATATTCTATGGTAGTCATTCATTGTTTTTATTGGAGATATAAATAATTTGCTTCCAGCCAACTTGAAACCAACCATTCTTCCCACCCATCCCCATCCTCCTTAGACTGACTTTTAGGGGAATTTTTAACCCTAAATGACACAATCAATATCTTTATGTGGCAATTTTTTTTCCCTTCATACTACAAGTCATTAAGTTTTGAATTTTAGTGTGCATTCCTTTTTAAAATCATGCATTACGTTTTAATGACAATTAAACTTAGGAGTTAGAGACAGAAGGAAGTCAAAGCTACAGATGCAATTAATTGTCCTTTCTTGTTGCATCAAACTTCCTTCTCAAAACAAAGTGAAAGTGTCTGCGTTTCAACCAATTTATGCTTCCTTAAAGTACTATTCAGCGACAAAAGGCCAAAGATCTATAAACTGGAGATTTTGTCCTGCCAATTCAAATAGAAAGCTTATTATTATTATTGATGTCTTTAAACATATGGAATGGGGAGACAATTGAGGAATTCTAGTAATTAGTTAAATGGAAGAAAGGGCTTAGGATAAACTGCTGTGTCATGATGTAATACTAATACATTGACGCCAATATATAATGTAACTTAAACTGAATGCAAATCTCAAAACTCAGTAAAAATACTACTTTGCTTTTGACAGCGTTTATTTATACTAGCGGAGTAGACTGTTTTTTTCACAAATCCAAAACTGCAGAGGTTGAATGGAACACATTCAGAATACATCCTGAGGGGATTTCTTCTGAATGATTTATTATCACCCATAAAAACAGCATTAAGTTCACCAGCATGTGTATCCAAGGGCTTTACTAGATATCGTTTAGCTGGCTTTTTTCCTGCTGTGGACTTACAAGGGATTCCTCTTTTGGAAGGAAAACTCTCCAGAGAGGACATCTGCTTTGGAAGAATTGCATCCAGATGCAGACAAACGTACAGATGTAGACTTGAGCCAAATCTAACCTCTGGAGAAGTAGGATTTGGTAACCCGATCAGGCTGTCTGCTTGTGGTTGTGGGGGAGAATATTCAGCTACTGCCTCTTGAAATAGGCTCCAATCCTCAGAACAGTTTACCTGATAACATGCTTCTTGGGGGAAATGAAAGGTCTTACTAGAATTGGGGCAGCAAGGCTGGCAGGGAGGATTTGTTTTTGGATACTACATATCGCCTTAACCAAAGTACAGAAAACGTAGTTCCTCAGTGAATATCCGTCCTGTAGGTTAGGTTGAAAGTTGAAAGAAAATTGTCTACCGAATTAATTGTAAGATGCTAAAAGCATCCTACATTGTTAATTTAAGGGTAGGGATTATGCAAAACAAGTGAATATCATCCATTGTATTCATGGTTTAAAGATACATTAGGAAGCAGCATACTTTTTGGAATAATAAAGACCACTCTTGGAACAGTGACATTGGTGTGTTCCAGGAGAAAAACAGAATATTCTGGAAGAAAAACATAACATTCCTTTCTAGACCATCCTGTTTTGCCATCCTGGATTCACAGAAAAAAACAATTCAGAGGCTGACAATATGGACAAAAACCGGGGATTCGTGAATTCTAGTTCTGTCTTAAGGCAGAAAGCCAACAGGATGGTTTTGGGCCAATCACTCTCTCCCAGATGCTAGGAAGAAAACAAGAGGAAACCATTAAAAAAAATTGCCAAACAAGCTGCACAGACTTGCCCAGGAATCAAGTCCAACTCCAAGGTCCATGCACACACTTCTACACAGAACTGCTAGGAATCCTTTTCTGACTGCAACCACAAATGCAACCAATAGAACTGAATCTATTTTTCAAACATATCTTTGAATTGCCCGGCAGACTTCCCCCCCCCCCCATGCTTTAATTTGTAAAGGGAAATGTGTCCATTCATGTCAACTGTTAAAAAAAGAAGAAAAGATATGGACAGCACATTTGGCAATCTTTATGTTAATGCTGCTCTCTACTGGCCACAATGGGAAATGACAGTTTTTATCAGAAAAGTCTTAGATTTATATATTGGATATTAAACATTATGCTGTTTATTATGGGTATAAACATTTGTCAACTTAGCTCCAATAGTGAAAAATACCCCAACGGGAGAAAACAGATCTGATACATCAATTGCCACATAATTCATTAGACCAAATCAACATTTTTAATATGCTGACAGCCTAGATAGAATCATAATTTTTGATCCTTATAATTAGTAGGTTGCATATTCATTTCAGATTACTATTATTCAAGTCATGACTCACCAGTGTAGTCAAACTAGTCCAAACTAAATATTTATAGAAAACAGTACCAATTCCACAAATTAAGTCTACAGTATGATGATTTTTTTTTTAGTTCAGCGATACTCATAGAATGAAAACTGATGCCTGCAAAAGCAGATAGAGCAGAAATAAGTGATCACAGTAAGTAGAGTTAGGTAATTCAAGATTTGAAGGCAAGGCAAACAGGTCAAACAGGTATTTGACCCAAACAACAAATAAAAACTCTCTTATAAATTCATAATTACCTATTTCAGAACAGACATCCATTGCAAAGTTGGGGGAAATGGAGGCAAGTCAAGTATAAGAATATGCATAAACAAACTATGGAGTTTGATAGTACTGTAATATAAATAAACCTGTCTGAGCATACATAAGATAAAAGGGTAGGATAGTCCTGCAATTGGCACACCCATTGCTTATTTCTTGCAAAAGCTTCATTCCATACTTGCTTCTGCTATTTTTGTCCCCTTTGGACTCTGGACTTGACCTTTGTGTTACTTCTTGATATCAATATGCCAAACCAATTGAATTTTTAAAAATCTTCTTAGTGTCACATATTCACTAAATGTATTGTATATGTGCATGCTAGTGCATACAGAAGTGAATTACAATGCACAGAATCTTAATTCATGTAAAAATAAATTTGGCATATCAATAAATCTTAAAAATACTAACCCAGCATTTGTTAAGAGACACAAGCAGAAATATATACAAATACCTGAGGCACTTCAATCTTCCTAGATGCTTATCTTCAAAGAAGCAGAATAAACATCATAGGTATACTGGTAGTTAGTTATGTGTAAATTAATCTTGAGAGCCAAATTAGTGTAGCGGTTAAGGCACCAGGGGAGAAATAGGAAAACTGTGAGTTCAAGTCTCACTTTAAGTTGAAGCCAGCTGGGTAACTTTGGGCCAATCATTCTCTCTCAGTCTAGGAAGGAGGCAAAACCACTTCTGAAAAATATTGCCAAGAAAACCGCAGGGACTAGATCTGGCAGTTCCTAAGAGTCAACAACTACTTGAAGGAACTTAAATAAATAAATATATAATCTTATATTTGTAATCAACCTCAGGCAGAGTCAGTTGCAATGCCACAGCATACATAGTATAGGAAGGTCCACGTTGTTCATAGGCATAATCTCCCTTTGTATGTATATTTGATGTAATTTACTAAGTATATATGCATACAGGATTTCAATCTAAATCTACAATACATTCAATATGTGTTCCTCTGTCCAAGAGAGAAAAGGTAAAATTAAAAAGCATGCATTCCAACAAATACGACACAATGAAGAAAGTTTAAACTTTGATGAATTGAACATCAAAATTGCAAATCTTCATAAGTGATTTAGGTTAGGAGACAGAAGGGAAACTCATAAAATTTGCAGACGACACCAAGCCACAGAGGGAATAGCCAACATTTTACAAGATAAGCACAAGATTTCGAAGGCTCTTGACACACTTGGACACTGGGTCCTACCCAACAAAATGCAATTCAGTGGTAAGAAAAGGAAGATTTTACATTTAGGCAAGAAAAACCAAATGCACAAGGTATAGAATAAGCAGTACCTGGCTCAACAGCCATAACTGTGAGAGAGATCTAGGAGTCCTAGTGGACAACCACTTAAATATGAGCCAGCAGTGTGCGGCAACTGCCAA